GACACTCACGCTCTGTAATGAAATAGTTGCGTCAGCAGCTGTGCGGAGGCGGCTAGCGTAGGCGACAACTCAGTCGTGTCCCCGTTGGCGTTGGGCTAGGACGGCTCCGATCTCGTGACCACTAGCATCGGTTCGGACTTCTGTCGGAGCGGATGGGTCAAAGTGAGCCAATATAGGTGGAGTCGTCAGAAGCGCGATTAGATATGAAAAAGCTACAGCTTGGTCGGTACCCACGTAAACGTGACGTCTTTCTTCAGAAGCTCAGTGAGGGGCCGAGCGATGGTTGCGAAACCTTTCACAAACCTTCTAAAGTAGGAACGTAGTGCTACAAAACTCCAGACGTCTTTGACTGACCAGAGTACAGGAAAACTGGTGACTGCACGAGTTTTTTCCGGGTCCGGCTGCACACCAGATGCGTCGACAAGGTGGCCCAACACCGTAATTTGCTGGCGTGCGAAGTCGCACTTCGACGAGTTTAATTGAAGGCCTGCAGTGCGAAATATGTCGAGAATAGCTGACAAATGCTGAAGGTGGGTCTCAAATGTTGGGGAATATACAACGACATCGTCAAGATAACAAAGACATGTTGACCATTTGAACCCTTGTAGCAGAGAGTCCATCATGCGCTCGAACGTGGCTGGGGCGTTGCATAAGCCCAAACGGCATAACCTTGAACTGATATAGGCCGTCTGGAGTTACAAACGCAGTACTTTTTTGGTCTTTTTCGTCGACAGCAATTTGTCAGTAGCCGGAACGTAGGTCTGTTGAAGAAAAGTATCGGGCGCCGTGGAGACAATCGAGAGCGTCATCGATGCGGGGTAAAGGGTAATCGTCCTTTTTCATGATTCTACTCAGATGGCGGTAATCCACGCAGAAGCGCCACGTGCCATCCTTCTTTTTAACAAGCACAACTGGGGACGCCCAAGGGCTCGAAGAGGCTTCAATAATTCCTTTGTCTAGCATCTTGCTGACATCTTGTTGAATTACTTCACGCTCGGTCGCAGACACCCGGTATGGTCGCCGATGAATGGGTGAGAATCACCTGTGTTAATGCGGTGCTTGATGAGTGAAGTCTGGCCGAGTGGACGGCTGTCTATGTCGAATATGTCGCGGTATAAAGCCAGAAGGCGGCAGAGCGCGGCTGATTTCTCAGGTTCGAGGTCCGGGGCGATCATGAAGCATAAGGTTGCATCGAGGCTCGTGGCATCCTGCGAGTGACGTGGGTGATCGGGACATACGTCTGCCGCAAAACAGGTGACCTGGTCGTCAAATTAAGGGTCTTAGCGTGGTGACCGATATTCCTTGAGGCAGCACTTGTTTCATAAAACCTAAATTGATGACAGGTAAATATGTTCAGTTAGAGGCCATGGTTACGATGGAGTGTGGGACAGTAATGTCGCGCACCAAGAAAACATCAGGAATCGGCGTCACGATATAATCACCGTCAAGCACGGGAGAGGGTGTTGCCAATTCAACGAATGTGAGAGCTTTAGGTGGTATTCGGAAGAAGTCAGTGGTGCACAAGCTGTTCGGGAGTTCAGGGTGAGAATCCGGGAGAAGAGGAAGTTCTAGGCAGAGAGTACTGGTGGCTCCATCGATGAGGGCACAATGCGTCAATAGGAAGACCGTGCCATAGATTAGGTCGTGAGGGCAATTTTCAAGCACCGTAAATAAAACGGGGACATGGCGGCCGGCAATACTAACGCGAGCGGTACACATTCCAGTGATGGCCACAGTTCCACCATCAGCGACACGGAGGGCTTTAGTTGCTGCAGGCGTGAGGACTTTTTTGAGCAGGTGAGACGTCCCCCGCTACGCCACCGATTACCAAAGAGAGGGAAGACCACTCAACCCCTTTTTATCCGGTTCCCTCTTGGATACGTGTCTCAAACACTTTTCACATACAGGGATTGGTGCTGGGGCCGGGAAGTAAGAGACGCTACGACCTGTTCCTGTTTACTGATTCATTTAATTTATTATTAACTTAAAACATCATATACCGCGTACATTAACCACTACACAAAATTATAACACATGATTTGGACATTTGCGACATTCGACACAGGGCAGGCACATAAAGAAAGTAACTGTAACAATACAAGGGTATGCATATAAAAACAACACACGAAGGCACAAATGATGACATTATCAATTATTAAAACCGCACAATGTCTCAATATGCCGCATCTTTTCCCGCAAAGCTCGTTTAAGTAAGGGAGGTGAAGTTCGTCTCACAGAATGTCCACTAATCGGGGCCTCAGAGTTGGCTGTTCGAATCGGGGCCGAAGGTTGGTTCTTGGCGTCGAGGTATGATCTGTCCAATTCGTCAGCGTCCTCGTCATCGTCGCCTACGTCGTGCCTCTCAGTGATTTTCATCTTAGCTTCTCTACCATCTCGAGCTCATCGCATCGTCTCTCTGACTCCCTCGTATCGTCTCGTAGTCCCTTTTTGTAGGACCCGACTCCGCCCTACCGGGGCACCAAACCAATCGCCACTATCGACGTGGCATATTTTCTTGTCAGTCGGAGTATATTATCTTCGACGGCCGCCCCCGCGGCCCACACCAGTAGAAAACCCTCTCCCAAACAAGGTCGAGCATGTAACAATGTACAAACTCAAGCCTCAGAGAGAGAGATGGGCGAGCTGTCCCAAGACACTTTAATTACGGGCGAACAATGGTCCCGATGCTTCCGACAAAGTGCGTCGCCTGTAATGGCCAACGTCCGGAGTTTGCAGTGTTGTGCCGAAAAGTTTTCGGTCGAACTAATATCCCCGGTTTCTGGTACTTGATGAGCCGATGTCCAGAACGAGTCTCGACGTCTCCATGCAGCTCGGTGTCTCCCGCGAAATTATCCGTAGCTGCCGCTTCTTCGTCATTCAACGCCGCGGCTGGCCATCCGCGCAGAACGCAGTAATGAGTCCTGGAGCCACAGAGGCTGACAGAAGTCAGACCGGACCCGGCACAGGCGCTGTGGCAGGGTCGCATTCCCCGAACCAACAAAAAGTGCTCTGCTGCTCCCCGATGCCACAAATCTGAAGGGTGCGCGCGGATTACCTCCACCGTACACCGTCACAATGTCTGTAGACGACAAGGCGCCGCCCGATCCTCGTGTTTGCGCGGGGGGGAAGGGCGAAATAATCCTTCCAGGTACTCCACTCCGGAATGCCCATTCGTTACACCGAAGGTTTTCTTTTTCTTTTCTTTTTTTTTTTGCGTGGGTTTAAGAGACGAGCGAAAAAATCTTGAAAGGACCGGGGTTCAGTCCGTGTTTGCGGGGACGTCACACAGGCAACACAGATGAGCACTCATTATAGACACTTGAGCTCGGGTATCGACTAACGCCGTTAAAGAAATATCGTCCACATACACCTCAATCAAGTTCGTATCAGTGGGGAGCGTCAGCGGAGGATTTGGATCACTCGCAATTGATGCAGCACTACCTCCCGGAGCTGCATGATCTATTTTTCCGTCCGAGAGGATCCATAGTTGACCAGTGACGGATAGCGGCGTGGTTGGGGCGATGGAGAACGGCGGCGTTGAGGTGACAGCGAACGAGCGGTGGAGCGGCTGTTAGGAACGTCGGAAGAAGGGTACACATGACTGGGCAAATCGTATGGTCGAGTAGAGGAAAATGGGCTCCAGTTTGAGGGCGTCCAAGTGCTGCTGCAGTAGCGGGAGATATGGCCAACTCGGTGGCAGCGGAAGCAGATCGGTCTGTCATCTGCAGTTCTTCATTCCGTCGGACTGCGGGATCACGGAATAAAATGTAAGTCATGGCGTGGTGCATTTGATGTCATTGGTCTGGAGGTGGGTCGTGAGGCAGAGCAGGCCACAGGAATACCGAGCTTTGCGATTTCCAGCCTCGCGACGGCTTGGATAACGGAGACCGCCGGAGGTGTTTGTGTGGCGCCATGGTCGAGCGGATGTGGAGCAAATGGTGCCGGACTTTGCGCCTCAAGCTCCCGTCGAACTATACGTGTCACACTGTCCTGCATGGGTGGTGCGGAACCGGGATCGGTGCAGGTTGACGTAACAGCCGTGTTTGGTAGCCGCGTAAACGAGGCAGAACACGGCGGCTTTTGGCCATTTCGATGCGGCGGCATTCATTAGTAATCATATCTACTGTTGTGACGTTGGTATACACAAGCAAATTGAAGGCATCGTCCACGATGCCCTTGAGAATGTGGCCTACCTTGTCACTCTCTGTCATTTGCTCGTCCACTTTCCGGCACAACGCGAGCACGTCCTGTATGTACGAGACATACGACTCAGTAGAGGACTGCGCACGAGTTCTTTTCGCACTTCCATTTGGCGACCGGACGGGTCCCCAAAGAGGTCGCGTAGTCGCTCCTTGAAGATATCCCAGCTGGTGAGTTCGGTCTCATGAGCGTTGAACTAAACACGTGGGGTGAGGTCCAAGTAAAATATTACGTTGGCGAACATCATTGTATGGTCCGATCGGTGTGTCTAGCTAACACGCTCGTACATACGGAGCCAGTTATTCAACGTCAAGCGCAGGTTGTGCGAGAATGTACCAGGATCACGGGGGTGGGGAATCGTCAGGTATGTGGTGGCTGGAGCTACAGATGGAGATGCTGATGGGTTGTTATTGGTAGCCATCGTTGGAGAGAGACCAGTGCGGCCACTGCGAAGCTTCGTGGTGAGGAGGGAGAACGTTCTACCTCCACCAAATATGTTACGGAAAGGAAGAGACACCGTATCGAAGAGGCTGTGGAATATATGTATTTAAACCAGCGGTAATAGTGTGACCAGTTCACCAGCGAGTGAGCGAAGACCACCATTCGTCTTCGTCGTCAGGCACACGCGCGCCTCCCCCTAGAATCTCAGTATCCATGCATGTAGCAATATTGTGGTTTTTTTATTGTAATACGCCAATAATTGGTATCGTGTATATAGAAAGTTTCATCCGATTCTTGAGAAAAAAGGCTCATCAGATGGTAGCTATTAGTACGCCTTTAGTACGTATAGTTGGCCTCACCCCCCAGTGGCGATTCGCGCAGCATGGAAGTGCTTCTGAACCTTGCGAACCATGTGGTCGGTCAGCAGCTTGACGTCATCGATCCGGTGGCAACGATCCTTCAGGTTCCGGAGAACCCGCCACACTTCCCCCCTAAAAAGATATTTGGAGACACACAATAATGAGAAAACTCCAAAGTTGCAAGTGTGGGTGTAAATATTATGGGTTGTTTGGCACATGCACAACAGCTGTTCATATTCTGGTAAGAAAGCTCAACTGCAATGTTCCAGTCTTTCCCAGTACCAACATTGACGATATCATCATGTAGTGAAGATGCACCATGTTTTTAGTAAATTTGGATAATACATTCTGCTGGACAGCAGGTTTCTGCCTGCATTTTTTCTTAAATGTGTAAACGAGATATTGCTCTAAATGTCTGCAGCCATGAAAATGTTATCCAAGTGCTAAAAATTTTAGACAAAAATCTGGCAGATAGTGGACAATTTAGGAATCGATTTGATTTAAAGCAGTCAGCAAGTAAAGAGGTCTATCAATTATTTGACACTTTCAGGTGGTTCCTTGGGTAAATGGTGTGCATATCATGAGCTTCCCAGGCATGTCGACTACGTCTGCATGCCAAAGGACCGACATAATGTCGGCACTTATGTTAGTCAGTTTTATCCTACATAGGTGCACACTACGGTGTCATCATCTGCATATCATAAGCAATGGATGGAGGTGGATTCGAGCAATGCTTGACTAAAGCTTGCAGAGTGAATATTTGTTACACAGGTGGATAGCCAACATTGCAATTATAATTGGTGTTTCCCCAACATGACGCTTGCATAGGGTCTTTTCCTAAGCAGTACGAGGTGCTGGCATAGTTCTCAGGTAGAATGATTGACCACGATGCAGACTTCCCAGGTTTAATTCTGGCTTGAGCAGACATTTTTAGTTTTGCTTTCATTGGGATGTTTCGTTCATAGATGCCATCGACACCAGATTATCCGCAACACAAGCTCTCTAGTAACACTACAGCTTCAAGGCTCTATTCTTGCTGTCCTTGGGTTGACATCGACTGTGAATCACCTGTGGTGCAAACCCATACACCGCGGGCCATGCTATGTGGCTATGTACAGTAAGGTCCACGTTTAGAGGGGACATGCGAGTGCATGGCCAGTGGTGTGCGGAGCGCTAACTGCTGGCGAGATTTTAAAATGCGGCGTACGTGCATTGGTTTATCAGAGTGGTGCGTGCCACATTATTTGCTACTTCTCCGCCCATGCAAACGGCTAGCGAGCCGTGGCCCTTCAGTTTTGCAGACTTGAAATCAGCTGATACCAAGCTGGCCTTCTTCCTCTTCTTTAATAAGCCAATATCTCATGATCGGAAAGGTTTGCTTAGAATGCTCGCTGCATCAGATTTCAACGGCTTCATAGATTTTTCGTCCTTGCTGGAAATCCTACAAGGTGGAGTGACAGCTAGATAAATTGCATTGCAAGAATAGAAACGGGAATAGTGCCTCTGGTCCGCTAAAAAATTTTGACATTTCCAAACATGCTTCACTTTAGTAATTTGAACCGTTTGAACACATTATATAGCAAACAACTCGAACAAACAGCTCATAAGCACGGGTTTTGCACGACATCGAAAGCAAAACACACACACCTGAGAAGCATGCAGAAGCAACGGTAGTCAGGTACCAAGTGCCTGTACCAGGGAAGTACGAAGTCTCTGAAGACGAGATCAAATATTTCATTTATCTTCGCGTCAACCGTGCGCGAGAAGACAATGTGCTTGCTCTTGTCGTCCGCGCTGCGACTGTATTCCTTCATCTTTTCCTGCGGTTAGAATAGTGATCTGAGACGTCCGTTCAAGCCAATATGCATGCACTACCTGCAGCACTTGCTTCAACAAATGGTTTCCCTCGTGTTCTTTCAAGAAGACGGGATACGGGTCGTCGGAGCCGAGCACACTTCGGCAACCGAGCACCACACCGAGCGACACCATGCCGACGTACATGAGTGCCACTCCCGCCGTCTCCAAGTGGCCGTAGTAGTGAGTCAACGCAGCAGCGATGCACACGGCGAATCCTCCCTGCAGAAACAGGGTACAGGCGTCAGCCTCGGCTGGAGCAGGCCGCGCACGTTCGCTTCAGCATTCGTAATTACCTTGACCAGAAACGTTCCCATCGCTGCTTACTCCCGTTGCTCGAAATTCTTTATCCTAGTCATCTGCAACGAAAACGTTGGTCTGTTTCTTTGCCGCAAACCGGGCAGTCACTGGAGAGCACCATACCACAGAACACCTATACACTACCATTTAGACCATACGATGGTGCAACCAGTTGTGCAGAACACCTACCAGTTGTGCAACGAAAATAAGAGTAGCGGTGGCGTTGTGAACTAACTTATCCGACCTAGAGACGGCGCTGATAAACCTATCATCATCATTGCGTTAGGGAAAATAAGGCGGCTGCTTTGGTAGCGGGAGCAGGGGGTCGTGGTGCGCACCCGCAGGCTTATGGTCGTTTATTCGCTGCTATTGCGGGGTGGTATTCGCGCACACAACACCTTAACGTTACTATAAATATTTCCGCTATGCCGCCAGGTGACCGAGAGGCTTCAACTGGCAAAAAACACGCCAAGCAAGTAAGCTTACATTGTTTATTGACAATCGTGAATTCAGCAATATACATGTAAACAAGGAATACTGTCTCTCACAGAGTTGAACAATACATGAAAAAAAAACAGTGATATTTATCTGTTTAATGAAATTACCCGGGGAAATTGTGCAACTTTCTCTTGGCTTGTTCAGTCAGACAACGATATTTACACTCACGGCTCACGGAGGAATCGAACTTCGGTCCTCTGCATCACAATTAAGGGCAAGGCGTTAATCACTGAGCCACGGCTCACGGAGGAAGGAGAGGTTTTACACTGCACCAACGCCTCCTCTAGAAAGATGCCTGAGGAATGGCTCGCGCTCCCAGCGGAGTTGGCCTTCCTTCAGTTTTAAACAAGCTCCGTGCGGTGGCGCTCGCGATCGACACTATCACTACCGTCCTATAACAGTGACATCAGTGGTCTACAGGCTGGCGATGCAGATTATAAAGGAAAGACTGCAGGCGTGGATAGAGGATGAGGGGGTGCTGGGGGAACTGCAGAATGGGTTTCGGAAACACAGGAGGTTGGAAGACAATCTGTTCTCACTGACGCAGTGCATCGAAATAGCAGAAAAGGAACACAGGCCCCTGTGGCTAGCATTTTTGGATATCAAGGGAGCGTACGATAGCGTGGTTCAAGAGGAATTGTGGGGAATACTGGACACACTAGACGTGGAACATGTAGTCACTAATCTTTTAAAGGGTATCTATAAAGGTAACAAGGTAGTAATAAAGTGGGAAAAACAGGTATCCAAGCCTGCAGAGGTAAAACGGGGGCTTAGGCAGGGGTGCCCCCTGTCACCCTTATTATTCATGATGTACCTACAAGGATTAGAGGAAAAATTAGAGGGAAGTGGACTGGGCTTCAACCTCTCTTTAGTCAAACAAGGAAAACTTATTGATCAGGCACTACCAGCATTAATGTACGCAGATGATATAGTGCTAATGGCCAACAACAAGGAAGATTTGCAGAGATTGATGGACATCTGCGGTAATGAGAGAGATAGGTTAGATTTTAGATTCAGTAAGGAAAAATCAGCAGTCATGATTTTCAATGACAACGAATGTAGTGAGCTTAGAATACAGGAGGTCACGCTAGAGATAACAGATAAATACAAATATCTGGGCGTATGGATAAGCAATGGGACCGAGTATCTGAGGGAACACGAAATATACGTGACGACTAAAGGTAACAGGAATGCAGCAGTCATGAAAAATAGGGCACTGTGGAATTACAATAGGTATGATGTTGTGAGAGGAATATGGAAAGGGGTCATGGTTCCTGGGCTGACGTTCGGCAATGCGGTCTTGTGCATGAGATCAGAAGTTCAAGCAAGATTAGAAATTAAGCAACGTGGAATAGGTAAACTTGCTTTAGGAGCTCACGGGAATACACCAAATCAGGGAGTACAAGGTGATATGGGATGGACATCATTTGAGGGCAGGGAAGCTAGCAGCAAGATAAAATTTGAGAAGCGATTGAGAGAAATGGGGGAAGAGCGTTGGGCTAGGAAGGTTTTCAGCTACTTGTACATGAACCCTTATTCGTGTTCCAGGCGATGCTCAGCGACCCTGGTATTCTAATCTCCTAAAGAAACTATCTCAAAAGAAAAAACGTCTTTTTCGCGCTGCTAAAAACTTTGAGTCAATATCAAAATGGAACAGATATTTCGCATGCCTTCATGAATACACTCACTTGCTGAAGCGCTCCAAAAAGAAATTTTTTCATGATGACTTGCTTAACATTGCCCGAACTAATCCAAAGAAGTTTTGGAAACTTCTCAACCCTAAAAATAACACGCACAATATATCCTTAACCAACTCCGATGGTTCTCACGTTCCTCTCCCACAGCGGGCGGACGTTATGAATACTTAGTTCACTTCAGTCTTCTCTTCTGAACTACTTCATAGTATTCCAGTCATGCCGAGATCTAATTTTTCAAAAATGCCGCCTATTGACATTACCTCTGGAGGCATCAGCAGTCTGATAAAGAAATAAAAAATATCCAGCTCCCCCGGACCTGACAATATTCCTGCCAAAGTTTTAAAGGCTACTAATAGCATTTCTAGTAAATTTTTTGAGATAATTTTTAAACAGTCCATTTCTGAAGGTTTCATCCCAGATGATTGGAAACTTGGGAAGGTTGTACCAGTTTTCAAGTCTGGCAAGCGATCTGACCCATCTAACTATCGCCCCATTTCACTAACGTGCATCGCTTGCAAACTTATGGAACATATAATATATTCACATGTTGCTCGTCACCTCGATGATCACTCTTTCTTTTTTCATAAGCAGCATGGTTTTCGTTCAGGGCTCTCATGCGAAACTCAACTTTTTGAATTTACGACTGATCTTCATCTCAACCTTGATTCGTCATTTCAGACTGATGTTATTTTTGTCGACTTTTCAAAGGCCTTCGATCTCGTCCCTCACCAACGACTAATCAACAAACTTTCTTCACTTTCCCTCGATCCCCTGACCTTATCATGGATTAAGTGCTTCCTAACCCACCGGTCGCAATTCACTGTTATCGGTGGTGCCCATTCTGATACTACTCCAGTAATCTCTGGCGTCCCTCAGGGCTCGGTTCTCGGCCCGCTCCTCTTTTTAATCTACGTAAATGACCTTCCTTCCGGCATTTCATCAACGGTTCGGCTTTTTGCTGACGATTGCGTCATCTACCGTCGTATATCAACTCCCGAAGATCAGCTAATACTACAGCAAGATTTACACATCATTGATAACTGGTGCGCTCAGTGGATGATGAGGCCGAATACTTCCAAATGTAAGTTCATGCCTGTCTCACGAAAACACACTAACGTCATTCATCCGTATTCATTAAACTCAACAGTGTTATCCCAAGTGGATTCTTACCGATACCTGGGCGTTGTAATTACAACCAGACTAACCTGGACCGAGCATATTACCAAACTAGCTGCCGATGCCTCAAAAACTCTTGGCTATCTTAAGAGATCATTGTCATTATCACCTGAAAGCCTTCGCAAATTGGCCTTTGAAACTTTTGTTCGTACTAAAATGGAATACGCATCTGCAATTTGGAGCCCTCATCAGATATACCTAATTAACATTCTTGAATCCGTCCAAAATCGTGCCGCCAGATTCATCTCCGCAAATTACGACAAACGAGCAAGCATCAGTCAAATCAAATCATCCCTCGGTCTCCCTGTTTTGTCAGCTCGACGCAAAATTTCACGTCTCTGTCTTTTTCACAAACTTTACTACAGCTTTCCTCACCTACATAACTCACTTTTACTTCCACCTGTCCGAACATCCCGTCGCCTATTTAATTCCCTGAGTACCCAACGTCTGTTTGGTTCTACAAACGCTTTTAATAAATAATTTCTTCCTACGGCTATTGATGAGTGGAACGGTTTGACGGATGCTATTGTCAGCGAACAAGTTGCTGTTAAATTTAGAGATTTATTACTAGCTACCCTTGACTCTTAATCGCTGTTTGTCTTTCTTTGTTGTTTGTTCTCTGCCGCCTGTATATTTTGGACCGCGAATTGACTGTTGAATATTTCGTTTGACATGCTCTGTTTTCTTTTTGTTTTTTGTTGCTACCTATATGTTTTAGTAATTCAAAAATTGTAACCATGAACTGCATTTTCATTGAAATTTGTACTTGGATTGTTCCCCCCCCCCCCCCTTATGTAATGCCCCGAGAGAGGCCTTTAAGGGTATAATAAATGATGATGATGAAGAATGTCGATACAAAATGGAGGAAGCGAACCAGGAAGTTGACTGGTAAATACTAAGAAAACAGCAGGTGGCCAAACCAAAAAGAACTATCGGTTAAGAAGAAAGTGAAGGAAACGGAGACTGACATGTGGAGAATGGGCATGATTAAGAAGTCCGCACTAGAGATCTATCGAACTTTTAAGCAGAAAATTGTCAAGGAAAGGATCTATGATAATACTCGGGGTAGTTCTCTACTGTTTGAGGCCAGGACGGGAGTACTGCGAACCAAGACACATCGGGCCAAATACGAAGGGGTAGACACAGTATGCAGTGCGTGTGGAGAGGAAGAAGAAACTGCCGAACACTTGATAATGTTCTGTAAAGGGCTTCACCCTATCGTTCAGGATGATGGCGCAGAGTTTTTCAAAGCACTGGGGTTTAGGGACCGGGAGGGCAAAATAAACTTTAAGTGGATAGACTTAACTAGAAGGAGGTTATCTGATTGGTGGCTAAAGTCAAGGCACGAGTGAAAATTAAACTCTTCACTGCAAAGCACGAATCCTCAAACTCACTTTCTAAGGGGAAAAAAATAAATATAGTTTTTGGTTCATTGGGTATTACGGCTTGGTGGCGCTAGCCACTGCCCGATCTAAAGGGTACAGCCATACTTATCCATCCATTTATCATCACGGCGACAGGCGCTCAGCTAGAGGAGTGCGCCGACTGGTCGGCGCGCCGCCGCCGAGAGTTTTCGCCGCGTCGCCACCGCCGACGCGAACTGATCGGCGCGCCGCCGCCGCTGCCGCCGCCGACGTTTTTCATCGGCGCAATCGGCGCGCCATTTATGCACCAGTACCGAATTTTCACAGATTTGTCTTTTTTTTTCATCTTGATTCATAGCTTCGTTTCACAGTTATGTAGCTAGTAAAAAACAGGCTTCTTAGTTATCTTCATCCAGCTTCAGAGACCGAGAGTACCACTATGAA